GACTGAGTCTCATCAACATCAAACCGGAAGAAGTAGAGGAAGAAAAGTTAAGGTTCAGGGCTGAAGGCCATGTTTCTCCCAGCCCCTGTGGGCGGGCTTGTTTTTGTCGCCTGGGATAGAATATAATTCAGTTTGCCCCCGTCAGAGCCTGGGAGATGCATTACCATGACTCACTGGCTGTGGCTCACACGTACAGCGCTCATTCGTCTCTTACTAGTCGTCTCTACGCCTTCAAAAGGAGCTAAGATGAGGCGGAGATTATGTAATTGTTTTCATTCCAGCTCATACCTTGGGTTTATCTGACATGATAATTTCAGAAAAAAAGTTTCTCTCCCTCTGCAAAGAAAAAAAAAAAAAAAACAAAACCCTTATTCCATTCTTCAGGTATCACATTCCCAAAATGTTTGTTAACCTCAGGACTTTTGTTGTCACATTTATAAAATACTGCATAGAAGTTAATTTTTCATTTTTCATAATTAACCATTATTTACCTATTTTTGAAGATTTTAAAAAAGTTTTTATTTGGAAGCCAGAGTGAGGAGGTGAGGAGAGTAGAGACAGAGAGAGAGAGAATCGTCCATCCACTGGTTGATGCCTCAAATGGCTACAACAGCCAGGGCTGGGCAAATTGGAACCAGGAACTCCATCTGGGTCTCCCCCAAGCACTTGGACCATCCTCTGCTGCCTTCCCAGGCACATGAGCAGGAAGCTGGATCAGAAGTGGAGCCACTGGGACTCAAATTGGTGCTCAGATGGGATGATGGCCTCGAAGCAGCAGCTTAACTGGTTGCCCATAATGCCAACCCCAGAAATGACTTTTTCAAAGGTTAGGAAGAAAGTTAAATCGATATGAGTCCCTGCCCCCAAATATTTCCTCAGAGTGAACAGTTATTCTAAAATATGTCTTGATGCACTTCAGAATTATTTTTATTATTTTGAATTCTATCAAGATTTAAAAATGCATCAATTTGGGGTCAGCGCTATGGTGTGGTGGGTAAACCTGCTGCCTGCAGTGCCTGCATCCCATATGGGCACCGGTTCAAGTCCCAGCTGCTCCACTTCCGATTCAGCTCTCTGCTATGGCCTGGGAAAGCAGTAGAAGATGGCCCAAGTCCTTGGGCCCCTGCACCTGCATAGGAGACCCAGAAGAAGCTCCTGGCTTTGGATTGGCCCAGCTCTGGCTGTTGCGGCCAATTGGGGGAGTGAACCACCAGATGGGAGATCTCTCTCTCTGCCTCTCCTCTCTCTGTGTAACTTTGACTTTAAAATAAATAAATAAATCTTTAAAGAAAGTACCAGTTCATCAGAACATAAATACCTTACTTTATTACCACCCTTTGCAGGTAATGAAGACATCATTTATTTCAAGTTATTGGAGGCGTATACTTAACTAATCACAAATATTTTTATCTCTGGTAGATTCAGAACCTCTTGGTGATTTGGGCCTTGGTTGGATTGTGTTCAGTGCCTTTCTTTGAATGAAAAATAAAGGAGTTCATGGCTTTTTGGTTCAACCTGCCCTGATTCCAATAGGCCAGATCTACAGAGGCTCCACAAGGTATGGAAATGACAATGATGAATAACATATAATTATTTGAGTAACTACTTAGGTACTTTGCATAGAGTGGACTTCAAAATGCTTGTGGAAAATGGAATATTTTGGTACAAAACTTTGAAGTCTAAATTTTTAAAAATTTTATTTATTTATTTGAGAGGTAGAGTTACAGACAGTGAGAGGGAGAGACAGAGAGAGGGGTCTTCCTTCCATTGGGTCACTCCCTAAAAGGCCACAATGGCCAGAGCTGGGCTGATCTGAAGCAAAGGAACCAGGAACTTCTTCCCGGTCTCCCATGCGGGTGCAGGGCCCAAGGACTTGGGCCATCTTCTACTGCCATCCTAGGCCACAGCAGAGAGCTGGATTGGAAGAGGAGCAGCCGGGACTAGAACCGGCGTCCATATGGGATGCTGGTGCCGCAGGAGGAGGATTAACCTACTGTGCCACAGTGCTGGCCCCATACATGGTTTTTCATGATATGTATTTTCCACACACTTTTTTTTTTTTTGGACAGGCAGAGTTAGACAGTGAGAGACAGAGAGAGACAGAGAGGAAGGTTTTCCATTCTGTTGGTTCACTCCCCAAATGGCCACTATGGCCGGCGCGCTGCGCCGATCCGAAGCCAGGAGCCAGGTGCTTCTCCTGGTCTCCCACGCGGGTGCAGGGCCCAAGCACTTGGGCCATCCTCCACTGCACTCCTGGGCCACAGCAGAGAGCTGGCCTGGAAGAGGGGCAACCGGGACAGAATCCGGCGCCCTGACCGGGACTAGAATCCGGGGTGCTGGTGAAGCAGGCGGAGGATTAGCCTAGTGAGCCGCGGCGCTGGCCCCCGTTAATGCATTTTAATATCATAACACTTCAAATTTAAGAAAATAGTCTCAAAGAAGTATAGTAGTGAGGTGCACATCTGGCCTCACGTTAAGATGGCCATGTCTCACGGTGGAGTGCCCGGGTTCCATACTTGGCTGCAGCTCCTGCGCGTGCTGCTAATATAGACCCTGGGAAGCAGCAGTGGTGATGGCTCAGCAGGTGGGTTCCTGCC